AACGAACGTAGCAAATTTGTAAACTTCTTTCGACGTCAAAGCAATTCTTTGTGTGTGTGTGTGCTACGCGAAGTTTTTGCGTGATCCGTCTGACTGCTAAGATGTTGGCTTCACAGTAGAAAAAAAAAAAAAAAAAAGTCAAGAAGAAATTCCTTCTCCCAGCGGCAACAGCGGCCGCCTTCCCCTGCGCGTCGGGCCCCGCCGCAGGGCGTCCGTGTGGCGCGGCCGAGTGGCACTAACGGACGCGCTGCGGCCTTCCCCGTGCCAGCGGCCTCCCACGGCCGGCCGTCTGCTTGCTTTTGCTCGATCGCCCTTGCGTCTGCTAATCAACGGAACGGGCCGCCTTATTTAATTTGCTCCGTCGGCGCATGCGCGTTGGCGGGGGCTTTCGTTTCGCTCCCGTGCGCGCGTAGAGCTCGCGTTGCGGGTGCGCGCTTATGTGTGCGGACGCCAAGGCCCGTATACGATGATAACAAGCGTGAACTGCGTGTTGTAATAAACGCAGAACGCTCGAGGCCCCCCGCCGGGTAAACCAAACGTAATTACTGGTTCCCACACAGGCTTTCATAGGCGCGACGTTAGAATATGGTGATCTAATACGTGTTACAGTGAAGGCGACCAACCAAAGCAGCGCTGCAAGAACTTTTTTTTTTTTTTTTTTTGGGGGGGGGGGGGGGGGGAAGGGGGAGTGGGGGAGGGCTACAAGAAGTGAGGTCAAAGTAAAATTGGACGTTTTAGTGATTAATACAGCTTAAGGTGGGTCTGCCAATATGGGCGACACTGGTTACAGTGTAGATGCGCAATTTCGCCAGTGCAGTGCGACTGCTAACCTGGGGTCTTTAACGTGCTCACACAGTGGTGATACACGACCGCACGCCGGTACGATGCTCATCCCAGGATCCAGGATCCCTGGGTTCTGCAGCGCGAGCTTTCGGTCCACGCGCGTCGAGCTGGGTGTACGCAAGAAGTCAGGTTTTATGGATGTTTATATTGCGAAGGTTGGATGTGCCCTGGGAACTTAGGTTGTGGTGGAATAAGCGCTGTAGAAAACAGGCGTGCAGCACAATCGTCAAACTGGATTCTTTCACGTGGTTCGATGTAAAAATAAGCTCGACTTTGAAGTTGGGAGCTTTTCGAGATGCCTGGTTTATTTCTGGATTACGAAAAACGTGCGGTTCTCGGGACACCCTGCGAACACCGCGGAAACATCGATTGATCGCCGCAGCACGCCGTTTTTGCTCAAGAGCGACGTGTTTCAACAGAGCGAACCGTTACACGCGCTGTAACCGAGTAACCAAAAGAACACGCGTAGGCGTCAGCTTTCTTTCCTCGATAATTTACGAACCGGGATGACTCAGGGTCGATTTATTCCTTCTTTTAGTTTCTTTTTTTTTTTCTTTCGTCGCGCGCGCGCGGCTATTTCTCGGCGGCTTACTGGGGTACCTGGAGGCCGAGAGTAGGCAACCCTGTCTCGGCCCGTCGGACGTCCGTAAATCTCCCTTCGGGGCCTGTCGGTAAATTAATGAAATTCCCGCCATCGGAGCTGGAAACGATTTATCGGCGTCAAACCCTCCTCCGGGGAGGAACGTCCCTCTCCCTCTCTACGTGGCGGCTACCCAGTGTCCGTCGGTGACCGGTCGCCTGCTTCTATTTCGGACCTGGGCGAAAGTATCGCCCCGTGGAACCCGCGCCGGTGCGGGTGTCTTGCGCAAGTGTGCGACGCGCCGTGGCGTGGATCGCGCGATCGATGAAGGAGGAGTAGGAGATGACGTGAGATAGCGAGAACGCTTGTCATGGATGAGTCGCGAAGGAACGGCCCATGCACCAATCGAAGCAGCGAGGTGGAGGGGCTTAGAAGCGATACATAGTGGCAAAAGTAACCCACCCCTCATCTTGGCTGCCGCCATGTTGTACAATTTTGACCATTAGACGCGTGAGCGTACCAAACTTCCGAAGGTTTTACGCAAAACTGAGCCGAGATTTGTATTGCGATCGCTGTAAATTACACACACAGATAAACTGTTTTTTTTTTTTTTCGATACTGTTAGCCCCAGAGGTCAGTGTCTAGCTCCGATAAAAACCCAAAATACAGCACCGCGGCTCGCGGCATCTAGCGGAGGCATTGCGAAGCTGCCCGAGTTTTTCTCGTAAAAGCAGATTTTTGACTTCAAACAAACGAAACATAACTGATCTCGTCGGTACTGTTATTAAATATTAATAAGCAATTATTTTGTGCGCGGTACTTCGTTAAAATCTAGACGCAAAACTATAAGATCGCGTGTCTAGTGGTAAAAAAAAAGAAAAAAAGTGTAAATTGGGGGTCACTTTCAGCTGCCAGTTTATCGCTCGGAGGCCCTCTGCCTCGTTGAAGCAAAGACACCTACAAATGAATTTGTTTGCTCCTTGATTCCATTTTTGTTTTTTTAAACGCGGCCGAAAGTACGCTTTTCTTTCTACGCTATCGGAGTCGTGCGTAAGGGAGCTTTAATAAATCGTGCCGATGACTACGATATCGATACTCGATTCTCCGCCGACGCCCTTGCGGAGCATCGTATGGTTATCGGGTATCGTTATCGGGGGTGTCGGAATGATCTACTAAACCTGTTTTTAATACGCATTCTTGTCTTACGTAATGCGCACTTCATTCCCCTGTTTGTCTCTCTCTCTCTCTCTTTCTTTATTCAACTGCCTTCGGTCTTACATACCCATGTATCGAAGAAGCGTGCGGAGGGAAATTTATTACGACAATGGGGAGTGCTCTGTGCGATAGGAAACTTCTCTACGCGTTCCGGACCCACTTGGCCGGTAGAACTTTAAAGCCGGGCTCACACTGATCATCTACGCACAAACGACAGTCTGCAAACGCGAGTCAGTGCAATGTCCGTGGTTCGAATGCCGCGTGCCAAGCTTCTCCTTGAACTCATCGCCACGCGGCATTTGAAGCGCGGATCTCGCCGTGACTCGCATTCGAATCAGTTTGCAGACTGCCTTTTGTATGATGTATAAGCAGGGTGACCCCGGCTTAAGGTTCGTGGTAAACAAAGGCCCAACAAAATAATTTAAACGGCGACCGGTGTATTTTTTTTTTTTTTTTTACAATCTTAAAAACGAATGTCACTGGCGAAGAAGCACCGCGGCCGTGGCTTCGAGCTTTTCGTTCGTTCTTTGTTTACCAAGTACCTGGTAAAGGCAAACATAGATGCCGCAGCTGAAAGCCCAGACATGTGTGTATTTTCAGGCATGTTCGAGGTCGCTTCAACCCTTCTATATGAGGCTGCACTCGCGTTTCTGTATTCAAAGCGGGGCCTTTTGCCGATGGCAGCCATATTGGCCGAAGCACGTTCAGACTGAAGTCGTCCAGACATGACTATAGTGCTGTAACGGGTGTCGTTATATCGGGGTGCAAAAAAATGATCCGTTAAAACTTTCTTTTATTTCGCTTCTCAACGTGCTCGAAATACCGCATGAGCTTGAAAAAGTCGATGTGCATTAAGAAAATTTTAAAGTTGTTTCAAGTTGAACGGTATTGCAGTTGATCTTAAAAAAAATAAATAAGTAATCTTTTTATACTACAAAGAGAAAGTTTGCATCCATTGAAAGTTACAAATAAAAACGGAGGATTTTTCAATGACCTAAAAGGGAGTTAGGCCTTTCTCGTACCATTAAGAAAACACATTCTCGCGTGCTATTTGAACATTTGATTTAGACAAAAAGGAAAAGGAGGGTAAGAAAGCAAGCAAAAAGCGCCGAAAAAATACAGGGACACAGACGAAGGGAAACAGGACAATGCGCACTCTCAACTGATGTTTATTGAAAATTCACACGTTATATAGCCACACACACACACACACAAAATCATCCGCAAGAAAATCACTCTCAGCTTACTTTCATCATCCCATGGCTTGTTCAACCGAATGAACAAATCATCCGCAAGAACTTTTCTTCAATGGCATTAAAATGTCCATACCATTGGAAAAAAATTTTTTATTTGTGACAGTTCATTAAAACACAAAGACATGTCATTTAAATGTTTTTGTTTTTCAAATGAACTACAATTCAATATCATTCGACACATTTTTTTTTATTATTTTCTTAAGTGTCCTAAATCCATTGGGCCCACGTGGTGGTAGAACACGACTATACCCATGTTCTTCATACCTGAAAACGTATTTTGCGCTCACCAAGTTGTTCGAGGTCCGACAAAAAGAAAGTCATGGTCTCTACCAAAAATATTTTTATCATATAACTTTCCACAAGCGCGATCCTTTTTTTGAAGCCTCGCTCTTTACGATCTCGTTCAAAAGAGACGCCACGATATTTTGCAGTACGCGATACAGTATATGTATTCATAGTGCACTGAGATCACGCAATATCTGTCTTTTGCATGATGTATAAGCAGTGTGAGCCCGGCTTAGCTCCGTTGCTCGCTTGTGGCTCAGCTGAACTGACCCTCGCATCACTGTATCAGGTTAGCAACGTGTGCCAACACTCGATCGAATATATATATATTATATATATATTATTATTATTCTTACCACTATTAGTTAAAGCGCCATCGCACTTCCCGCAGAAGGAAATGTCGTAAGTTGTGTTTGTGTGTGTGCCGGGGGGGGGGGGGGGGGGGTGCCTGCGTGCGTGCGTGCGGTGCGTATGTGTGTTCGTGGTGTGCGTACGTACGTTTTCTGTTGAGTGTATCCTCTTGTTTCAATTTATTATTGGCCAATGTTTATTTCCTGTGTTCTCAGCATTTTCTGTCCATGCGTTAAAACAGTCGACTCCTATCTTCTTTTTTTTTTTTTCTCTTATTCTTTAAGTGTTTGGTTGGAATTATAAAAATCAAAACTAGGTTCAGATAACAAACGTCGCATTAAACGTTAACGGGTGACAGTGTGTCTGCACTCGGAGCGAACATTCGTACTTTTTTAAAGCGTTCTCCCGAGTGCTTTGAGCGAGCGAACTCTCTAACGAGAACTCTTCTGTTTTTTCTTTTCCATGTACAGATTTCCAGAAGCTCGAACGCGAAGCGCGGATCTGCCGGAAGCTGAACCACCCAAACATTGGTGAGTGTCTTTCACATAGAACGTGTGTACCAGGGTCAATTCTAAGCCTTCGCTTCCGCTCTCGGTCCTCCCAATGTTCGGCGTCCCACTTTATGTGCCAGCGAAGCCGAAACTACGAGTACAAACATGTTGCTCTGAAGGAGGCGTGCACTGCACGGCGCGCGTACTTGGCAGGGCCGCTGAAAGCCCTTGAGCTAGCTCTTGTAGCTCTCCGAAGAAAAGTTTAGCTGCTCTAAGCTTAGTATATACGCTGGTACACAGACCACACTGTGCAGCCAGAGCACTCTTAGACGCCTAGTAAAAAGCCTTCCTCATACTTCTTTTCGTTTGATTTTGTTTTCGTTCGTTGCGCGAAACTTCTCGCATTATATTACTGACTGACAAATTATGCGAGTTTACTATGTGATTCTCTCTAAGATTTTTTTTTTTTTTCATTTATACTTTATCTTGCTGAGAAGAGCTTTCTGCCCTTGCTAACACAAGTGTGAACGCGCAGACACGCGCGACCAATTAGCACCGCGGAAGCCAGCGAGCTTGCGCTGAAGGCGGAGCTTCTAATCTCGGCTTGCTAAAGGGGAACGGAGTATAGCCGGCCTATTTATGTGCGCTCACTCTGAGCATGCGCTCTAAAACAGCTCATTCAAATAGGGCGACCAGTGAATATCCGCTACAGTGATTGCAGAAGATTCCTGGAACACGCTTTATTAATCGAACAAAAACTGGACTCCTTTCGACTCTTCTTGAGAACGGAGGCGAAATTTTGAGTCTCTATACTTGCTCTGTTTCATACTTAGTGTGCAACGCAGAAGCTCGTTGCAACGCAGTCAAGGCGGCTGGCGCGAGCATGCTCGATCTTGTTGATCATTTTGCGGGCGTTCTCGCGCAAACGAAACCATAGATGCAGCCACGCGCTCGCGCCAGTAGCTTTGACAACGTTGCGTATTCAAATGGAGTATAGGTGCACGAGCGCTGAACAACATGCGCTTCGTGTGTCGAGCATCTAGCTACGAGCTGCGTATTTCGCAACGCGGACACGGATGAAATAGGTTTGGGAAAGCCTGTAACGACATAGATCATGGTATACGACGCAGGAAAACAGATTACACGCTAACAATCGGGCAGAGGCACATGTCCGGTTCTTGTGGATGCTCACTCCGCTCGGGTCCGAAAATAAAAAGTAGAAAGAGAGAAAAACCGGGCAGGGAGTAGGAGGCTGGAATATCTTGAAGTATTGATCCAGCTTGGTTCCCACGTGCTGTTGCCACGTTGTGTTTGTGTTTGCTGCACCATATTCGAAGTTTCTAACTGCAATCGCACGGCCGCCTGTTGTTAGGTGGCATTACCTCGGACACATCCTGTTTGTATTCGTATCCTCGCACATGTCGTTTGTTGAAGAGCCAGCACATAAAACAAATATCCCTAAACAATACGATTTTTTTTTTTTTTTTGTAAGGGGGAAAGCGGGTAAAGGCCGTTCACACTCTTGCAACCGAGTATACGACCGAGAGAGACCAGACCGGTTCTTAAACCTCTTGCGATCTTTTAGGACCAGCTCCGCTGCAGCGCATCCGGTCCTAAGAAGTTTGGTTTGGTCTCTCTCGGTGCTACTCGGTCAGAAGAGTGTGAACGGATGCGTTGCATCCGTTCACACTCTTCCGTTCAGTTGAAAATAGCAACAGTGAAATCGTTGTCTTATCGAAAAGAAAAGAAAAAAGAAACGGAACGAAGAGCTAGGTACTGTTGTTCTGCCGCGATAATCTACTTCTCACGAAAGTGAAATAAGAAAGGAACTGAAGAGTGTTTTCACGTCAGACCGTACAGTGATGGTTTGGGTCGTATTCCTTTATACTTGTGTAAAAATACACCGGACAGCTATGTTCTTGGGAGAATCATTCTGCTGTATATGAACGCCGTGGCTAATTTTCTTCCGGAGACATGAAATTGCTAAGCATGAGGCGTGGACATTGCCAAGCTTTCGCTAGGGTACTTTGCACAGTCGCCAGTTTCACACCGAAACATTTACGTAGCAATAATTTTTCCTACTTGTTTTACACAGGTTTACTACGTGTACTATATATATATGTATATATATATATATATATATATATATATATACATACATACATACTACGAAGCACGTCAAGTAAACACGTTCTAGGCACACGTTACCAAATTATTTTGCAACAAAGTACTTCATGTAAAATGACGCTAAATGAATCAAAATGAGTATCTTTAAAAGCATTTTACGAACACATAAAAAGATATGCTAAACCGTTATTGCACAGAAACGTATCTGATTTCTCTAAATGCGGCAAAATTGCATGTGTAAATTAACAAGTATATATATTTTTGTTAGATTTTACTTAATGATCTGCAGTGTCTTGAACTAACTTGTGACGGCAAAACAATAACATGTAAAAAAAAAAAAAAAAACGACAGCAAATTTTTTGCTAAAATTGAGCTTGCTTGTCTTCGTTATAAGGGCTTTGCCGCACGACGACGGCTCCAAAGGGACATTTTCTAGAACGGACGAAGGCTGTACTGTCGTTCTGCTGCATCGTTCGGTCTAAAAAGTCGCGCTGTCCCTAGCTTAGCTTGATATTTGCGCTTCTTCGCGTTTCGGACGCCACTGCTGCCGACAGTTGACAGCTGTATGCTCGGCCCATTACCGCGAGACGCTAAGTTCGCGCACGAGGAAGGCCTGTCACCGCGAAAACGAGACCAGGGAAATGATGTCTGGAGAGCCGACATCTTGGTGTCCAACATTGTGCGACAACAAAGAAACCAGCTTACTATTTCCAAGTATTAATACGTACTTTTTTTAATGGAATACAGATAGTAGTTGATAACTATTAGGCTTTTGTTGTTGGGTGTTTCCGTGTCACTTCATACATTGATAGTACGGGTCATATTTGTACACTTCTGTAGAATACGTGCTATATGAAAAGCATGTCCTTAGGAAAAAAAGATTACCATAAGTTATTTTATGACTTTTTTTCAATTTTCCTATTCTCTTACCCGACTTTCCGGCCGTTCGGAACAAGGTTGCTTGTACTGCCTACTAATTAACACGTATAATTTAATTAACTCTATTTAGTCCGTACTGTATGTTTTCATTGCACAGAAATATTACTGAAAAAAAAAAAAAATCGGGCACTTCCGGCTAAATTATTTCAGCTCTGGGGACTATTTCAAATCGAAACTAATCGAGAAAAAGGTCGACAGTGATGTGGGCATCCGGTTGGCGTTACAGTGACGGCGACATCTCTTGACGTCTTTTTGCTGCTTGCAAAGCACCTGTAAATCTTGGCGTTTTGCGGTCAAAGTTCACTGTGCCGCCTCATTTCCTTCTCCTCTGGCTGGCAGCGCAAGGCGCTTCTTGCGTGTCATTTCATTGACAAAATAAAAGCTGCCCTAAGGAAAAGGCAGAAAAAGGCAGAAACTATGGCGTCGCAGATGACATATTTCTTTAATCCCAAGTTCAACGTCATTGTTCTTTCTTCTTGATTAGTTTCGGTTTGAAATTGCCTGCAGGAGGGAAATAATTTCGCTCGTAGTGCCCCAATTGTTTCGTGTTTATGTCATTTTGAGATTGAAACGTACAGTATGAAGATTGTGTTTCAATTTCGCAAATGCAACATGCCCTCTAAACTCACTAATTGAAACATTAATTAAATTACCCTCGTAAGTTAGTATGCTAACAGCGCAAGCAAGCGTGTTCCATGTGGCCGCGAAATGGTTTAAGCTAATAGAACCAAAAAAAAAAGTTATTAAGCAACTAATTTTTTTAAGTCGTTCCTGTGAAAATTATACGCATTACAAAAAAGAAAAAAGAAGATTGATGTACTATTAATTTCTGCCAAAGGGCAAATAAAAAAAACACAAAAAAACACTGATAGTTAGGTTGATTCTGTACTTACTTTTAGTAATCAACTTCATATTCAATAATTTTGAAGGTATTATTTCAATTTGAAACCTGGTGGGCATAATCTAAAACTGTTCAATCCACTCACATTAGAGATATATGCGCGACATGGCGCTCCGGAAACGGGGTGGTTTCTTAGGCGGCAATGCGGTGAAACACAAATAAAAATTTAAGACAGGGGCAGCACAACTTTCTACCCCCTGCTATAGACCACAGCGCTGTATAGCCTTTGCCCATGGAGCCGACGTCCTGCGGCAAAGACCCTATATATATAAAAAAAAAAAAAAAAAAAAAAATTTTGCGAGGTCAAGTTTTATTTAAGGTTTTGATAAATTAGTTAGTTCAAGACACTGCAAACGGTTAGTAACAATTTAAGAGACGAGTTTTCTATTTATTTTTATGGACGTGCAATTTTGTTACATTTCGAGAAATCAGCTACGTTTCTGTATTAATAACAGAGCTACAATAATGGCTAATCTTATCTTTTTATATGTTCGTAATATGCATTTAAAGATGCTAATTCTAATATATTTTGCGATATTTTATGTGAAGTAGTTTGTTGGTAAATAATTTGGGAATGTGTCTGTAAAACGTGTTTACCTGACATGTTTTGTCGCTTTTCTTTTTTTTTTTTTTTGCGAAGATGTATTTTTTTGTAGTTTTTAATATTCTGATTATATGCTGTAAACGTTTAATAAAAGAAGTAGGAAACATTATTAGTTCGTACATGCTTCGGTGTGAAATTGACGGCTGTGCCAATGACAGATTGAAATCTTTGCGATGACCACACCTCGAGCTTCGACATTTCATATGTGCGGAAAAAATTAGCTACAACGTTTAAATATAGCTGAATGCTTCTCCAAAGAATATGGCTTTCACATATATTTTTTACATAAAAAAGACCCGGTTTACCTGTGTACGTGATGTGGAAACACCCTGAAGAAGGAAACAAGCACGCGAGTTCGAGCCCAAGTAAAATCCCACCGTTAGGTCTGGGCGCCCGTGCGCTGAACACCGATCAAAGCTATCCATGCGCGTTCTTAATGCTAACTGCCCGGCACAATAGTTTAGACGC